ATGAGCACCACCCAGAGCCCTGTGACTTCCCCCAGGGCTTAATTTGCATTGAAAGAGGTGACACTATTCAGCCCCAGCGAGCCTCCAAACAAATTAAGCACTGGCTGGGCAGCCGGAGCATGGAATCACAGAATACTGGAACTGGAAGGGACCTTGAGAGGTCATCAAGTCCATTCTCCTGCCTTCACAGCAGGACCAAGCACCATCTACATCAGGGCTACTCAACGCATGGGCTGCATGCGGCATGTTTGTGGCCCTTGGTGCAATTTGGGTTTACGTGGGGCTCAGCACACAGCCCTCGGATGGGATCCTTTGAACATGACTTCCACTGGGAACAACAGTGAGGTGTCTCCAAGGCAGGATGAGCATTGAAAGATGCAAGCAGATGGGCTGGCTGGAACAGACAGGTACAGGGTGTCAGCATTTCTAGCCCCCAGAGAGGAGGTGCCAGGAGCACCTAGGCATTGTGTGAAAGAAGCTGTTTGCATATATATTTGTACGTCTATGCAACCATACTTAAGTTGCGTCCCTTGGCATGTGCTGTGAGTATCATTGTGGCCCCCGGGGCTTCCAAAGTTGAGTAGCCCTGATCTACATCATCCCTAATAGACAGGTGTCTGTCTAATCTGCTCTTAAATATCTCCAGTGATGGAAATTCCACAACCTCCCTAGGCAATTTATTCCAGTGTTTAACCAACCTGAGTTAGAAGGTTTTTCCTAATATCCAACCTAAAACTTCCTTGCTGCAATTTAAGCCCATTGCTTCTTGTCCTATCATCAGAGGTCAAAGAGAACCATTTTTCTTCCTCCTGCTTGCTACACCTTTTTACTACATGAAAACAGCTATCATGACCCCTCTCAGTCTACTCTTTTCCAAACTACCAACTCAATTATTTTACAAAACACTATAGTTCATCCATTTTTTTTATTTAGTCGTCTAGCATTTGCGTATTAGCACTTTAAAAATTTGCCACTATGTAACTGTCTGCCATTTCCTGATGTGTTAGACTCTTTTCCATTTGATTACTTCTAATTTTATCCATATTTCTCATTTTACCCATCATCTTCCATCCTGTCCTCCTAACTAGAACACAGAGAATCTCTATTAATAGACGCTCCCTTAAGAGATGTCTCTGTCCGATCCACGTTCTCCTCTGTGCCTGTCGGCTTTCCCCCCAGCCCTTAGTTTAAAAACTGTTCTACAAACTTTGTAATGTTAAATGCCAGCAATCTGGTTTCATTTTGGTTTAGGTGGAGCCCATCCTACCTGTATAGGCTCCTCCTTTCCCAAAAGTTTACCCAATCGTTAATAAATCGAAACCCCTCCTCTCTACACCATCGTCTCATCCATGCATTGAGACTCTGAAGCTCTGCCTGCCTACCTAGCCCTGCACGTGGAACAGGAAGCATTTCAGAGAATGCTACCACAGAGGTCCTGGATTTTAATCTCTTTCCTAGCAGCCTAAGGTTGGCCGCCAGAACCTCTCTCCTACCCTTCCCTATGTCACCGATACCTACATGTACCATGACTGCTGGCTCCTCCCCAGCACTACACATAAGTCTATTTAGACGTCTCGTGAGATCCGCAACCTTCGCACCAAGCAGGCAAGTAAGTCACTATACAGTTCTCCCGGTCATCTCTTGCCAAACTTCCTATCTTTCCTATGCAGTGGAATAATTTGCTTTTGGGTCCTTAATAACGTCCCTTTAAAAACTGTCAACTGCCTTCCATTGTTTTTCCTCCTAGTCTTGCTTCTCATGGAACCTTACCTACCAGCTCTCTGGAGTTTACTAAAATCTGCCTTCCTGAAATCCTGATCTTTCTTTTGCTGTTCTCCTTTCTACCATTCCTTAGATTCATGCACACTATGGTTTCATGATCACTTTTACCCAAGCTACCATCCACTTGGAAATTTTCAACCAGTTCCTCCATATTTGCTAAAATCAAATCAAGCAGGATGGCTGCTAGCTGAGTGCCCAGCTCTGAAGGCAGCAATGCCACCAGCAGCAGATCACGTAGGGTACTGCCACCTCTAACACTGCTTCACTGCACCCTCAAGGATGCTATGCCGGGGGGAGCAAATGGCAACATCAGGTCTCCATGCATCCAAATTATTTTCCCCAGTTGGGCTGCACAAGGGGAAGGTAGGAGAGCAGCAGCTTGCTTCACAAACACAGCCCTAGTGGGGAAGTGAGCAAGATACATGGAGCATTTGGTGGTCCTCCTCTTCCCCTCCCCCCCCCACCTTCTGGGTGTTCAGAAGAATGCCCACGGAGAGTGAGCAAACTCTGTGTGTCACCGCTCACCACACCCACCCCATTCCTCTGCTAGAAAAAAAGCAGGGAGAAATCTGGGTAACCCCCCGCATCACCTCTACAAATCTGCAGCACACCCCCGCCAGCCAGCAACATGCAGCTCTGCACTGCTGTACTACACCTCGCCCCCGGCAACCACCGCACTCCTCTGACCATGGCACCCTGGTCCACACCCAAGACTAAGCCTGCTGATCACCCACGGTGCCTGCAGGGCTGACTCCTATACCCATATCTATAACTTCCCTGTCTCAGACTGCTTGGGTGGTGCATGTGTGGAACCCACTAGACTGCTTGTCCTCCACAGAAACCTATCCTCCACTTCCAAAACAGCTATGCGGCACGCCCAATAGCTACCACTCCCCGTCTCTGTGACTTCTCTGGAGCCTTCAACCAAAGCTGCCCTATTCAGAGGAGCCAAACTAAAATCCACGTGCCTCCCAACCGCTTCTGCCTACAGTAGACATTTGTGGGTTACACTGTCTAATGCAGAGGGGTTATAGGGCAATGATAAATCCGGTCGTAAGTGACCCATCCAGGGAGAGAGCTAGAAATAGAAAGTTCTGCCCCAAGTCATACAAGTGTATCTTCAGCACAAGTCCACTGAACCCTGTTCTAATGGCTAGACCACGCTGCCTCTTGGAAATGCCTCTGATTGGTTACTAACTAATGATACTTGGTATTTTTATTGTGCCACCTACAGAAACATCCATTCTTTAGCAATATCATTAGCACGGAGCAAAATAGGACATGAACATTAAGTAACACACCCAAGGGCACGCAGTACGTATGTGGCAAAACAGAGAGAAACCAGATCTTCTGACTTCTCATCCTGTGCTCTATGGATAGGGCCATGCTACTTCTTAGAAATGCCTCCACAAAGAAAGTCTGTGCTAATGATCTTCTGTATGAAGGATCTGGGGTGGTTGTTTCTTTTAAAATCTAAAGGAAATCCTAGTTAGGATTTTGAAGACACAGCTGTGTTAAGCAGTGCTGCTGGGGTATCCCAGTGCTCACACCTGGACAATAAGCAATGTGTTTTCTAGTTATTCTTTAAAACCCCGCCTGCTGTAGAGTAAAAAAACCCATGAAACTCCCATTCACTGTAGACTGAACATTCATCTCCCCTTCATATTTCTGCAGTTTCAGTGCACCCTCAGATAAACTCCCAGTCTGGAGAAGTAAATGGATCAGTGAAAGTAACATCTCGGTCAGTCAGCAATATATACTGTACACCTTGTACCCACCGCACCCAAACACCTGGGCCAGTGTGATCAGAGTTATGCGCACATTGTGTTCTTGTCCACTGTAGCCTGGCACATGGACTGTGCACCTATGTTGAATAATACAGTTCGTATGTAAGAGGCGCGTCGTCCCAGAGAGACTGAAACAGCTGTAGGCATGGGACATCCACCTGAGTGCTGAGAGGCACGGTCAAACGGAACCCAGCCACACCTCACACACTAAAGAGGGATCTAATCCCAGAGTTAGCTCAGCACTTTTACTCCAGGATCACAATAAAAGGGGAAGTCACCACATAGGTGGCCAATTAAGCACTGCATTGAAGCCACCAACTCACTGCACAGCAGTCATCAGAAGACAACAGCTATAGCAGTTTTGGTCTTCCATTTTAAACATAGTCAAGAATGAACATTTTCATTGTTTGAATTTTTTCTTTCCCCATCGTCCCAGGATATTTTTTCTTTGAATTTTTTTTGCCCCAATTCCATCCTGCTCTTCTAACATCTTTTACTAAAGCAAAAAAGCCATCCTAATAATCTCTTCTCCCCAATCCCATTTTTCCTATGGGAACAAAAGGCTAAGATGGGAAGATAGAAAAAGGGGACAGTGGATGATATTTCCCTCCCCTTTATACTAGGGATGTGATTCAGAGCCAGCAGTGCGGGGGCAGGGAGCCAGCTTTTAAGCAGGCTCCCTGCAAGCCCTGCTGCCTCTGAAACAGGGACAGCAGCACATATCATAGAATCCTAGGGCTGAAAGAGACCTCAGGCGGTCATCGAGTTCAGACCCCTGCCCAAAGCAGGACCAACCCAACTAAACCATCCCAGCCAGGGCATTGTCAAGCCAGGACATAAAAACCTCTAGGGATGGAGATTCCACCACCTCCCTAGGTAACCCATTCCAGTGCTTCACCACCCTCCTAGTGAAATAGTTTTTCCTAATAGTCAACCTAGACCTCCCCCACTGCAACTTGAGACCATTGCTCCTTGTATCTGCCACCACTGAGAACAGCCTCTCCATCCTCTTTGGAACCTTCCTTCAGGAAGCTGAAGGCTGCTATCAAGCCCCCAATGGAGGAGGGGAGGAGAGGGCAAGTTACTTCAGCGGTTTCACATTTACGCATGGAGGGAAGGCATCTTCATGGGAGCCAGTATGCATGGGGAGCTGGCTTAAAAGCCAGCTCCCGGCGTGCGTGCCAGCTCCTGCAGAGCTGCCTCCCCTCTGTGCATAAACATGAAACCGCTGAAGTAACTTGCCCATCAGATCACAAAATCCCGAAGGCAGTGTTTTAGTTGAGACTCTCTTCTTGACTGGAAGGTAAGAGCAAGCCAATTAAATGCTGATCAAAGCTACTTCTGCAGCATCTACTGCTCTGTGTCAGGACCACAAACCCATAGTATCCACCAGTGAGACATGCAACTGCTCCAATGGATTCCACTCCTTACCCATGTTTGCATTGACATCAGGCCTCCATTCCACGGGTCACGGACAATCACACCTTATCCTCCACTCACAGGTGTCCACCCTGCAACAACGACAGAATTTACAGGTAAACACCAACGAAGCTATCAGCATAGACCTTTGATTGGCTCATTCTTATCAAACCAGTTTCCATTTTTGCCCTCTTTATGCAGCCCATTGATTCTGACAGGATTTAAACAAGGCGTCTCGACTCCTCTGCCCTCCCCACAAGTCCAGTCTCCACTTGGCACAGAGCCTTTAGCTACTCACTTGCCGTGCCTCCATTTTCCCATCTGTTAACCAGAGATAATGACACCTACTCACTTCTTGACATACTTTTCATCCACAGGCTTCAGAGACCTTCTTCCGCCAAGTGCAGACTACCGATCGATTGCACCTAGTGCAGCGTAAAAGCACCTTGCCATATTGAATGTAGTTCTTCTCACACTGTCCCTGTGAGGTCAATGTATCTGAGCAAGACAATGACTGGGCAGGACAGAGGGACTAACAGACCAGGTCTCTCAGGTTCCAGCCTCATTGCTTAACCATTGGACCATTCTCCCCCTAGTACAGCTGCCTCCTCCTAAGGAGAAGCCAAGATAGCAGCAGCTATGGAGAGAAACTGTACCAAAGAACAACTACATTTTTAAAGGCAGGCTGTCTTCCCACAGCAATCCCAGATGCCCTCTCCCAATACCTCTCCCCTTCACCCATCTCCAGTTGTCTCCAAATCTTCTCTCTCTCAAATAGATACAGACCTCCATTTTTTTTTTAAATCCAGCATGTAGCACTTGGTCAACTCTAGAACAAATGCATAGGACTCTCTCTGTTAAGTAAGCCCTGAAAATTGTCCAAAAGACAAGTCTGAAACCCAGAGGGCAAAATGCTACTCCTGTTTACGGAAATGACAAAACTTCCTACGGACCAAGTGGAGGCAGATCAGTACATAAGTGCCTAAAGTAGGGATGTTAACTAGGTCACTGTGCAACCGCTGAAAATCTTAGTGGTTACACACTGCAGACTTTGCAATATAAAGCTTATACTGCAGAGCCCGCAATCACAGCCCGCTCCCTGGGAGCTGGTGCACAGCAGCTCCCACCTGCAGTCCTGCTCCCTGGGAGCCGGCTGCCGCCCTGCATGATTGCCTCTGATATAGCAGATATCTGACAGAGAACCAGCAGTGCAGGGTGGCAGCTGCTCCCCAGGAGCAGGGCTGGGAGCCAGGAGCTGGCATGTAATCGTTACGGTAACTGATAAGTTCATGTTTATCTGTTAAACTAATGGTGGGGAACTTTTTTGGTTTGGGGGCTGCTGACCTACGGGGGGGGAGGGGGAACCAGTCAGGGGCCACACACAGTTGAGAAGCAAAAAAAAAAAAAAAATCCCTCACTGACAAGGCCCTTGACTGAGAAAAAAGTCTCCCCCCAAATCTCATCCCACCTCAGGGTGCCCAGGATAGCAGATTTTGTGTGCTTTGGCCCTGCAGTAAGGTGGCGGAGAGTCTGGAGCGCCAATGTGGGCTCCCTGATGCTGGGGGGGAAGGGTCCTGAGCCTCAGGTGTTGGATCCAGGCAAGTAGGGGGCTGCAACCAGCCCCCAGGCCTTAGGTTCCACACCCCTGGTTTAAACTAGGGATGTAAAATTTTGATTAATTAATCGAATAGTCAATGGGATATCCATCGACTATTTGATTAGCTGATAAGAACTTCCGCATTCCGCCTTTGAAATGCACAAAAGCCGCAGTAGGGGCTCTTGTGCATTTCAAAGCAGGAGCCTGGGGTCAGCAGGGGACTCCCTGCTGGCCCCAGGCTCCTCAGGGGGTGCCAGCTTTGAAATGTACAAGAGCCCTAGTGGGGACTCTTGTACATTTCAAAGTTGGCCCCTGCTGCGCCCCTACCCCCTCCCACGGAGCTAGAGCTGGGGGGAATCGGCTTTTAAGCCAGCTCCCTCCAGCAGTCCCTCTCTTTCCTCCCCCCTCCCCCCCCCGGTCACGAAGCGACTAGTGTGTCGATTAGTGGCTTACATCTCTAGTTTAAACCTTTATGCTATTACATCCCTAGCCTAAGTCCATAGATGCCATTTACACACCTGATTTTTAGATGCACTGAGCATCCAGGTAACTCACACTGAAGTCAACTGATATGTACTCAAACTTCACTGGGAGCTGTTGGATTTAGGGACCTAACTTGAAGTCCGTGACTAGTGTGTCGATTAGTGGCTTACATCTCTAGTTTAAACCTTTATGCTATTACATCCCTAGCCTAAGTCCATAGATGCCATTTACACACCTGATTTTTAGATGCACTGAGCATCCAGGTAACTCACACTGAAGTCAACTGATATGTACTCAAACTTCACTGGGAGCTGTTGGATTTAGGGACCTAACTTGAAGTCCGTGGTCCCTGTAAGCTGTGCGCTTATGTGGTCATTCAGGAGAAATTCAAAAGCTGCCCAGCTGATCAGAGCGTCCACAGCTAGGTTGTGTTTGTCCGTCATGCACATTCGCATGTGCCTCGGTGCACATAAAAATTTATTCTGAACATGGCTGGAAAAACACCGCCCATGGATGGAAAAGATTAGAAGGAATATTGCTTGAGGTAGCTAAGACACCAAATTGTTTTTACCCAGGGGTCTGTCTTTGCACACACAACTCTTACTGAAATCAAGAGGAGGTCTGAGTGCAAAGCAATAGGCAATTATTTTGGATCTTTGTGCAGATCTTTGGATCTATTAGGACAGATGCTTCACCAGTAACATAATGAAGCAGCAAAAGCACCCAGAGTGTCAAGCTGATTAAAAAAGAACTATAAAAACAACTCCTAAAAGACTCAGGGAAGATACAAGAGCGACTTCATGATCTGACCTAAAACTAATTTTTTGAAAACATCTGACACTTTGGTCTTTAGTCCTGGCAAGCACTAGCATATTTATCCAACCTATTTTGAGAGAGACAAGCAGGAAGGGAGACAGATAAGAAACCAGCCAATACGCTGAAATTTACATGTGCCACTAAGTGTGTTATTCCTTTGCTGTTGTTGCTTCCTATCTGAGCAACAGCACTGTTTAGCTTGAGAGTATGAAGCCACCGAGGACTGTATGTTCTATAACCTTTCAAGACAAAGGCAAAAGTGAGGGACATGGAAAAGCTTAATATCTCTACCAGGGAAGAATGCACTGATCGCAGATAAATGGACCTGCCTCCGGGCCTGATCCAAAGCCCAATAAATTCCATGGGAAAACTGTTACGGATTTCAGTAAAAATGGGTCTGAATGGAAACCTACAAAGCTAGTGGGGGAGCACTTTAACCTCCCTGGAAACTAGGGATGTAAAATCCCATTTAAATAGCTAACTGGTCAAACATGAAGTTTAACCAGTCAAGAGGAGTTGCTCCAGTAATGCTCCAGTCTGTCTCACCACCACCACAGCCGAGTTGGAGCAGTCCCCGGTTGCAAGTAGGGGCTGCTCTGGATACCTGTCCAAGGCAGCCCCTGCCTGCACCTCCCCTCCCTGGGCCTGCCACAGACAGGGGCTGCTCCTGATGCCCAGCTGAAGGAGCCCTTATCTACAACATGCTGGGTCTGCCACAGACAGGGACTGTTCCAGAAGCCTGGAGCAGCCCCCATCTGCTGAGGACTCCGCAGGGCTGAAACTCCTTTGCCCATGATGGGCAAGGAGCTGCTCCAGCCCCTAATGGTTACCTGGAACAGGTAAGCATCACCAGTTAAAGGTTAACCAGCAAGTATAACCCTTCACATTCCTACTGGACACACAGTTTGATTTACAAGTTGCCATTCTCAGGCAAAGAACTTCAAAACCAGACTGGCAAGAAGAAACTGCTGAGCTGGAATTCCTATGCAAATCTGACACCCTGAAACAAGGTTTAAATAGACAGGTGGAGTGATTCTCCCATTACAACAGCTGATTTCTTCATCAGATGCTCTCACCTTCTCACTCTGACTGAATTAGCACAGACGTCACACTCCCATCTCTGTATCCCTTCCTTTTCTGTTTTCTTTTCCCTTCCACATCTGAGGAAGTGAGTTGTATCTCATGAAAGCTTATGCCCTAATACGGGTGTTAGTCTTTAAAGTACCACCGGGCTCCTTGTTGTTTTTGCTGAAACAGATTAAGATGGCTAGCCCTCAAACTGATTTCAATGAGATTTGAATTTCCTTGTTGGCTGGAAAAGGGCAGAATCTAACCTACTTCTTTTTTCCACCTTTTTGCAAAGTCCACATCAGACGTTCAGAAATAAAGTTGTATGCCTCGTTTCAAGGCCATCCTTACCAATACGCAGGCCATCCTTACCAATACGCAGAACACACAACTGCGTAAGGCATCCAAAAATTTGGGGCATCACTGCCTCTTAATGTTCACCCACCGCTCTCTTCCTACTCCTGTTCTGAGACTCTACTTCCTCCAGAGAGGATCTAGTTAATTTAAAAAGTGAAGTAGCCTGCCAGACCTATTTGCAGAACGCTAAACCTGTGACAGAGCCAGTCAGGTTGCAATGAAGCCATGTAACAGGCATGTGCCAACCCCAGATATACACTGTCAGTTTCTGAATGTGCTGTGTTAGTCGTCAGGGGTTTAGTTTAAAATCTGCTTTAAAACTGTTTAGTGTGTTGCTGAAGAATATAAAAATCACATCTCCACAAAATTGTCCCCTTCTTGGCTGCCCTCAGACATAGGGGCACCAGTTTAACAGTACTGAGTAGGACCCCATAAATCCTAAGAACAGCCCTGCCTAATTGGTGCACACAAGTACACCAATGACAACAAGGTTATCTGTCTGAATGGGCAAATAGACACATCTCTACATTTGCCCAGGCAAATATGCAATGTATATAACTGTTCACACAAGGAACTCATATAGATGCATGCCTGAAAGTCTGATCCTACATGACCTTCCACCTCAAATTAGTACATGCATATTGTCTTTCCTCTATTACAAGTCATCGAGCTCCCACCGTTTAGTTCCCATAAGCAACCCTACAACAACAAGCCAGCATCCATGTACAATGAAGTAAATATATGCAGGTTTCCATTTTAACATTTGTGACT